GCAGCTGCAGTGTCCTCATTTACTGGTTTTGGAAACTCAACAAGTAAATGATAAACATCCTCCACCTCCAGCAAGATGTCATCCTGCAGGAGAAAAAAAACAATCAGTACCTGATCTCACTGATGACAGGAAGGCTGTTGTTATGCATTTTTTATGATAACCAACTATGCACCAAAACACAACAGCATCGGTTACTCTTAGTACTTTATACAGATATAAGCTGCAGAACAGAATACACAACATTCAAGTTTCTTTGCAGAAACACTGCACATCACCATTTACCTCCTCCTATTAAAATTAAAACTGGTCTGGTCTTGTTTACCTGAGTGTCAATATATTAAACAACAGAAAATATTGTTAAAAATTAACTGGAAAGAGTTCCTTCCTTTACAGAAACACTGTGAAACACTGTGTCTGTAGAAGAAGTTCTTCTCACGTTCTGTTTGAACACCCGACTGTCACTTAGGCTAAATAGAGACCTGACATATTGGTTTAATAGTGGGTCACAACCAACGTTTTTAGGCGCATACCGCCACCTACTGTACTAGAGTATGTAGTGTCATGGTATGACCAGTATCTTTTTGAGATAACACTGCCTATTCCTTACACCTTTATTCATTTTTTATTTCAATCAATGCGAATTGTCATGGATTTATACAGATTTTTATCGAGCACCCACCTTGGAAATTGTCAGCTGGCACTCTGACATGGATCCAACCTTGGGCAGCTCTACTGTCAGCTCCACACTGCGTGCCACTCCTGCTGCGTCAGTTTTCACCTCCAGCTGGTGCTGGGGTCTCACAGGCTCCTGGAAGGTGGTGGAGATGACCTGGATGAAGTTTTTTTTCTTCTCCGTCTGTTCTTTTGGTAGAGTCATAATATGAGCTTCCAGATTTTCATTCTGTTGCTCAGAGCGATGGGTTTCAATCTGCCGCAGGAGATCGCTTGGGGTTTCACTGTCTGTCAGAAAAAAAAACACCTTTGTTTAAAAATCGAAAACTGTGTGTATAAATTAGTTTTTTGTTTCTTGGTATGACTTTAAGCAACAGTTAACTGGAAGATTAGGTACATTGCTGATGGAAATATTTATTAAATGCATGAATAATTCTTACACTGTGGAGTTACATATGTACACAGTTCAGTAGCTAATAATCTACCAACCCCTCTGCCATTTTACTGGTAGATTACAATCTACTTATTGGGCGCCCCTGGTCTACATGCTGCGTTAATCTTTAGAAATAAATGATGGCACAACAGCCCAAAGGTCTTGATTTAAATCTGGCGAACTATTGTGCTAAAATTGAGACTTAAATACAATTCAGTCTTTGCATTTGATCTTTAACACAAAGGACATTTTCAAGCACAGTTGGACTTTAACAGATGAAAAAAAACAACACACTTTCACCTCTTTAACTATACCTGTGTGTTACTGTATGTTTGCTGTAAAACAGTCAAGATGATGTCAGAGGAATATGACACCTGTAGCAGTTGATCTGAAGTGCTCTACCTTTACTTGGTTGTTCAGGTGTGACTGTTCGCTGCTGAAACCCAAGACGTCGGTGTAAGTGAGTCTGGCTGCTTCGTGGGCTGTAGCTGATGACGCTGTACTGCTCCGATAATTTCAAGCCATGGTGCTGCTGCACAAACCTCAGGGCCAGCAGATACACAGCTGATTTATCGTCCTTGTTTTCCTCAAGCACCCCAGGGTTGAAGGCGATGTCCACAACAGAAAATGAGCCTGTGGGGGAGACACTCACAACTTTATATATACCTCTACATAACAGTAACAGCATTTCTGCTTAAGCTGTGGTTGGTTCTTAGCAGTGCAACAATTATACAATCTGGTCCCCGTCAGGTCAGTCCTTTATCCTTTGTGGTAGGAAATTAACTTGTTTTGCCAGTATGACATGTTTCTGCAGAGGGATTCTACACTAACTGCAGTGATATTAGCTCTAAACTTCAAATGTAAGCACCCTCTGAGGCAGCAGGGTCTTGAGCCTTTCTTTACCCTGACTGTGCTCTGTCTCTGTTTCCAGTTTTCCAGCATATAAAGGTACAGGCTGTTTGGGCTCCTCAGGAGCAGGGACACGTTTCCAGCTGCAGATATTGATGTACAACAATCTTTTCTCAGGCTCCTGTAGTGGACACAGATGCAGAGAAGGAAATATGTGATTCGAGTTAGACAGATGTGACATATGTTTATAAATTTGTTCATACATTATTTATGAGGACCATTCAAAGGCTTAGTACTGCATGAGTGTTTCTTTTAGTAAATGTTACAAATGCCAGCAAAATGTGTGCTTTTCCTTGATTTAACGTGACGTACAGTAATACATACAATACTAAATACTAAGTAAAAACTGGGTGATTTGTGTTAAACCAAGCGTTCTTTTTAAATCTAAAAACAAACAGTTTCAACTTAAACGTCGCTGATTCGAAAGAGAGGAGACGCAGCCTATGTCAACAGTTACTTTTGCTACTATTCCGTTTAGTTTACTTCTCCGTTTAAAGTTTTGTGAATGTCGCTTTTAAAATTTAAAAAACAACTAAACTTAGCAAAATGTCGTCGTACAACCACTGTAAACACGGGGCTCTGAGAACAGTCCAATAGTAATGTTTTTCAACGTCGTGGTTACTTACCAACAACCATGTGCTAATGCAGGAGTAAAGCTGCGGGGGAGCATTAGCAGCTACCGCCTCCTCCACCTGTCTGTGGATGAACCTGCTGTAGGCCTTAGGGTCGTTTTCACACAGGTTATCCAACATGGACCACAGCTGGTTGACCTGCTGTAGGACGCCACCCGCTGCACCGGAAGAGGTCATTCTCAGAAAAAGAAATACTGCTAATAGTAATTCGCCTAAAACTGAGCGATACACAAACACATTAGCTTTGCGGAATGTTTAGAGTTACTATGGAAACCAGGCTACGGAGACATCTAACGGCGAATTTAAGAACTACATAAAGTTCTGGAAAATTCTGTTAATGTGTCATGATTTACATCAATTTTATTTTTATTTTTTATTTTTTAGTCTTTTGTCTTTTATCTTTCTGTTGCTACTATTGCTAATACTATGAGATAACCTTTGCCTAAACCACATTGCCTAACTCTGACAATGCAACCCATGGTGTGTTATGGCAGTTGGATTTACTGACGTCATATGAGGATACCTACCAGTTTTGTTTTGTTTTTTGCCCCAAAGAAAAAACCGTTCTCCCTCAGAAATTTCAATTGAATTGCATATTTTAAAGTGCATTCATACAGAACTCCTTGCAATCCAGAATAGTTTTGGACCATGAAACAAATTTATATGTATATTTTTTGACATAGGACCAGCAGATGTGCTGGTGTTAAATAGATTTTTGGATGTTTTTTTAAATCAAGCAAGAACATAGTAATGGGACATGGTTATAACATTAAAATATACAGTATAATGACAGATACATTTGTGTATTTCCACTCAGTTGTGTACATCACAGAATAGTCAACACTTAAATGAGATAAAATAACCAATAATTTCCCAGCGGCTCAGGCAATGAAATCAGCAGCTCTTTGTTGTTTTTATAGTAGTCTCCTCAGTAGTTCTGCAGAGAGAAGGTTATTATTAGTCTCTAGTTCACCTTACAAGCTGAAATATTTAATAATCTTTTTTTTTTTTTTTTTGCTTGAAATAGAAGCATAATAATAGGTTAGGAGTGTTTGTAAAACAGGTCTTGTTAATGAACAAAGCTCTGTTAATCAAAAATATTTATTTGGTTAATACAAAAAGTAAAAAGTAAAAATAAACTCAGGACAACTATAGATCAACATCTGAACATCATCTACATAAAGTTTGAAACTGCTAATGTAAATCAAAGAAATGTGACAGTTTTAGTCAAGGCGTATCCAGAAATCAATCAAAAAAGTCCATAAAAAAACATTGCTGTCTATCGAGTGGACAGATGTTATAGACACACAACATGTGTCAACGTCTCATGTAGACTCATAATCGATTGGCTCATAAAACATATAATGTGACCAAAAGAAACTGGTAGTTCAGAGCTGCAGAAACGTGTTTATTTTTTACCAAAGTCCATATTTTACATTCATTTTACCTCAATCATTTCGTAGATCCAGCCCAAGAACTCAGCTACTTTGGAGTAAACCCCTGGATGGTTGGGTTCTGCACATCCTGTACCCCAGCTGACAACACCAACCAGCCTCCATACATTTTCATCCTGGCAAACCAGAGGTCCCCCACTGTCCCCCTAGTGGTGCAGACATAGATGCTGTTTATCAGACAAACACGTCATTGCAGATGAGGAACACTATTCGATTGATATTTTGGCTTCATTAGTAACTGTTTCAGCCAGCAGATGCAATGTTGTACTTTAGTATATAGAATTTAAATCTCAGTGTTGTAGGATTACAAATGAGCTCAATGCCTAGAAAAATCTGTGAAACAAGAAAAAAAGTTGTCTCATTTAAACAAAAAAAAGCATATAATCATCAGTCCGTTATGCAATACCACACACCTGCTCCAAATGGGATGTTTAACACATTTCTGACCTGACATGCATCCACCTTTCCCTCTGTGTATCCAGCACAAAGCATCCTTGGGGTGATCCCACCGTTATACATGCAGGAGCTGTTACATGTCTTTGGGCTAATAATGGGAACTGGCGCCTCCTTCAGTGTGTCTGGGGATTGAACTGAGAGGGAAAACAAACGTGATGCCTTTAACTGGTTTTGTAAATTGTGGTTGGAGTGCTGCAGTAGCATCGTACCAGCGTCAGGCTGAGTGTATCCCCATCCAGAGATCCAGCACTGAGTTCCTCCTGGAAGATTCTGGTTGTACTGAGGCAAGCACACAGGTCGAATCGTATCTAGAAGAAAAAAAAGACCAAAATCTATTTTTTTCGTTGTCATATTTAACTTTTTTGTGTCTTGTAATGAAATAATGTTTTGGGAGAAGAAAATCTCCCCAATAAACACAAGAGAATGAGTAGACATGCAGAATACACGGATGTCTGTGGAAACGCACTGGCCGCTGCTGTAGTGGACTCAGACAAAGCCTGGTAGTTGGGGATTGAAGGCCGACTTTATTAACTGCAGTGTAACTCAAAGCGAGGGAAAGGCAGGAAACAATTAATCAAGAGACAACGGTCGGCAAAGTCTAGCATTAAAGGTCAGAACAACAAGGCTCAGTGGTCAGGCTGTGAGTGGTTTAGATGCAGTGAGGTGGGTACCTCTGGGGGGGGGGGGTCAGCTGAAGGTATGGAGGCGTGAAATCATGACTATGAGTTGTTTGCATACAGATGTTGTGACATTGATTTCTTTCTTTTTCAAACTTTTATTATTCTGTCCAGACATACCAGATCAATCTCTTTTTTTCCAAAGGTAAAAGTATTCCTTTTTCTTTTTTTCATTTCTGATTGGTGAAGACAAACAATTTAACAAGACTCAGGAGGATTGGATGAGATGAACTGGAAAGAGAGGCTGTAGTTATGTTTAAAGTTTAATATTTAAGGTTACTTCCAACTGACCAGAGAAATTTAGCGGTGTCCTCAACTTCATCAATGCTATGTCGCTGTCATGGCTCCTGTGGTTGTAGTCCTTGTTGTAGATGATCTTCTCCACAGCATGTCCTGCGTACTGAGTTGCTTTTGCCGAGCTTCGTGTTACGATCCCTGCGTAGACCACCCAGCTGGACACCTGGGGAAGCCTGTAGCTGACATTTGAGAAGCGGAGACAAACAACTGTCTCTTGTGTTCGGTGTAGGGCAACGCTCTGACCTAAATATGTGTTCAAGTCTTACTTGTGCACACAGTGGGCAGCTGTGACGACCCATTGGCTCGTGATGATGGAGCCGCCGCAGGTGTGACGGTTGCTGTAGTACAGGCTGACCTGCCACGGCCACCTGCCCAGCACTGCCTCCACCCCCCCGATTATCCGGGGCAACTTTGCTCTCGTTCCACAGTCTAGACAGGGATCCATTCAGTTATCAGAAGGATTGACAGAGGTTATGATCAAGTGTTACATTTCTCTAGGCAAGTCAAATTCTGTGAATACTGAACAAATCTAGAAGGTTCTAATGTAGTTTTAGGAAACATTCAAATGTGACATACATAGTGTGACTCTTCCTCATCACTGGTACTGATTACATGCATCAGATAGTTATGTTCACTCAACCATCTTCAGGAAACTTTGATTAACTTTAAATATGTATTTGTGTATATATCTATATGTATTCTTATGTAAGACCTAGTGCAGGTTGGTCTACACTAGGTTGAAAAGTGTGACCCCTGTAGTTTGTGTTGACAGTGGTCCATAAATATTTCAAGGCTAACTGGTAGCCGCAGCCACAATAAGAAGCTTGATTGTTAATCCTCCTCTTGTAAGAAACTTTGGATGAAGCATCTGCCAAATGCATAATTATAAATGAACAATCTGGACGACAGAGCAACCTATGAGCTACGACATTAAGAGTTAAAGTGACTAATGTGTTTTGCTTGGGAATCATAAGTTGTGTTTTCTTACCAAAACACTGCAGAGCGATGACCTTTCTGGTGATGCAGTTCTCCCTAAAAAGCAAAAGTTAAAGATTACTTTTGACGGTGGGTTGAAAGGCTCCATTTTCTCTTCATATCCATCGCTCACTTCACCTGTGTTGCCATATGTTTTCCAGCCTACTCCTGTTTTCAGAGGTGATTTGTATGAAGCCATTCGTGTAGTTTGGCCTGATATCTGTTAGATTGACTCCCTTTTCTTTGGTCAGTCTGGTGGGCGAAAATATGCAAAATAAGACAGACTTGGTGTTGAAAAACTGGGATTAAACAACTATACAAAGAATAAACAATGACTTTAAGAGAGTAGCGGTCGTTTCACATGGTTCAGTGTGATGAACAAACCTCCAGTAACCCAGCTGTCGACAGACCAGCGTTCCCAGCGAGGAGTTCCACCTCTCGTAGCACACTGGCAGCCAGGTGGACAGCCTCCCCAGCTGGATCTCCAGGAGGGAGTTCTCTGGGCTAATTCTGTAAAACACTGAAGGTAATTGATTGAAAATCCCTTCAGAGATAAGCTCTCAGTTGGCAGTAATGAACAAGTCCCTTCCTGTGAGTTGGTAATGATTATTTTCAATGCAAACACAGCATTGTGTGTGATGTTTAGTGTCAGTCGATGGATGTTATCTATGAGTGAACCAGAGGCAGCTGCTGGTAATTGTAACTGGTAATTATATGGCTGTTCAACTGACAATCACTTGAACATCTTGAGTGGAGCACTTATTTTTACCAATACCAATACAGCATCTTGGAGTATCTGCTGACACTGATATCCAATTGGCAAACTACCTATGAATATCCTTTAAAAGTGTTTTGAAATATTTGAAATGCTTTGTGCCCAGTCGGCTTAACAGTTGTTTTTCAACCAGAGACTTCTGAAGGTTCTACACTCATTTACACACCATCCTCCTGGTGACTTGGCTGTAGGTGTACGTGGTTAAACTAGTAGTATAAACCATTCTGTTTGGCAAATAATTCTTTGCTTTGTTGACTGACAAAAATATCAGGTTAAAAAACTATACCAAACAACAAAAATGAAAGAAAATGACTAGAACATAAATGTAAAAAAACACAGACCTTTGCGGGAGTCAGAGATGGAAATGTCTTCTGTGACATTGCAGAAGGACGTTTCCTTTGTGTCGTCAAGTCCCACTGCACTCTGAGAGGAAGACGGCCTCAACAGAAGCTTCACTGTCGCACAGCAGGTCCGCAGATACAGTTGTCAGGGTTTTAATTGTCAGCGTAGATACAGAACCAGGTTAAAGCAGAGAAGTAAATGAACGTTGTTATATGTAAATTGATGTGATAAAAAATCATCAAGTCATAATCATTGTAACACCCAACAAACAGATTTTTATGACTGGCTATGGATTTGAGTACAAATCTGTTCCTGGTTTGTATTTATTCAAATTTTAACTTAGCAGCAGTCAGGTTTGGTCGGAGGTGAATATCCTGGTGCCAAAGTGATGGGGAAATGCAAGTTGACATATTTTAATAGCTCATTTACATGTGCACAACCTTTATGGGCCAGCTACCTTCATATGTGTTTATGAATTGCAGCAGTTTAAATCAATTTCCTGTGGGTTGTGGTGCCATATAAAAATAGCCAACTGCTGTGTGAAAACAGAGGTAGGAGTTGGGGGGGGGGGGGGGGGGGGGGGGGGGGGAAGGGGGCTTTTTTGGCGAGAAGGAGTCCTTATTAACGGCATCACCTTTTCATCTCAATATTCTTTCATGCTTGACCTTTGAGGAACAATCAAATATTTCTTTCTGGTTGACGATCAGTGTTTGGGCTGTGTGTGGAACAACCACTCGTTGAGCGGCCAATTAAATGGCCAGAAAATGATGTCAGTCCTAAAAATAATTCTTTATATTTTTACACATTACACTTTTGTGGATTTCAATAACTAAGTTTTAAATTGTACTCTGTGCTTGAGCTGGAGCTGCTGTCACTGAATTTGACAGTTTTCAGCAGCTGTACTTGCATGGAGAGTGACTCACCTAGAAACCAGACGCCTACAGCTACACCTCCCAGGAGCCCGAGTGCACACAACGCTGCCAGCAGCCTCAGCAGCCTGTGAGCTACAGCAACAGTTAAGACTGAAGTTAATAACTGCTGATCCCAGATATGAGCTGAGGAGACTTATTAAATGTCATTTGGTGCATATAAATGTAACCTGTTGGCCCACAGCCCAGAGATAGGGACAGACGCAAACTTGCAAAAGGTGACGAGTAAATCCAAGATGGGACTTTTATAAGAAAGAACTTCTACAACAGTGCAGCTCTTTTAGACTACACAACAGTTTTGCTGTTTTATTCTGAGTAGAAACTCGAACCATGTGTTGCTGTGGAGTTTACCTTGATTTATGGAATAGATTCCTTTTAACCAGGCCGGTACACTTTTGGTCTCTGCAACTGCTGCTGTTTGGGTCTCTGAGTGAGACTGCTGACTGACCACTACAGGGTTCTCGATCACCGATAATGAATCTCCATCAAGACTCTGTAATGACACGGCAGCCATGTTAGACCATGAGAGTAGTTTGAAACAAAGTCAAAGTATTCAAACTGCAATTAACAGTTATTAAAGACGATGATGATGATGTATAAAGATGTATTTCATCTAAGATTATGGGGCTCTGCTGTCTAATAGCAAAAGACTTCATTTCTAGAACCACACACACACTGGTGGTTTAGACCAGTGTTTCCCAAACTTTTTTTCTGGGGACCCATATTTTAAAAGTCACAAACGTTTGCAACCCAAGTCAGTAGACCTTATTCGTAAACTCCTGTGAAACATGATGTGAGACGACGCAAAAAAAAAAAAACAACTGTCCAACTACACATGGACCACGGTAATGGAAGCTGAAGAAACTTGCCAACAGATATGACCGACTGACCATCTGTTTTCGGAGACCTTTGCGTCAGTCATGTAGAATTAGAACCAGTGTCAGTGCCTGACGTGAGCTGTCACTGATGAATGCATAGGAACAGTGCTGAGGCTACGTACAGGTGTGCTCTGTGCTGTCTCACATATCCTCAGAGAGGGCGGTGCATAATGGAGCTGCTGAAGCCCTGCACTGGGAGCTTTTGTTAAGCTCAGGTCACACTACACAATTCATCTGCTAGTAAGTTTAGCCATAGAGAGTATAAAAATAGATTCAGCCACCTGTGGAGACGGAAAGAAAGAAACACATCTGCTCTGCTGGCTTTGAAGGGCTGTCACTCTGAATGACAGTCTGTAACCGTGTTTTTGAAGGGTTTACTGTAGGTACGCAATGGATATAAGGCCTTTTTAAATACAACATGGTGTGTATATAATTACTTCCTTTGGATATACAGTGATAATTCAACACAGGTACACAGTGGATATGAGAGAGCTGAGAAGAGTTGGTAGTATTACCTTGATTATTGCCATATAATACATAAAATAGCAATGCATAGCAATATATGAAGAAAGGTACAGCAGAAAACAAATATATTATATTTATAATAATATATTTTTACTATGACAATATACTTTTAAAAAAATGTATTTTCCAAAAAACATATTACTTTTTATGTTTTTAAGTCATAAATGTTTTAAATCAGTGAGTTTTCGCTATATGAACTATAGCCTTGGGGAGGGACCAGCGCCTGTACAGTCGACACGTGGAGAACGGAAACAAAAAGTTATCAAACGCACAGGTCACACAAAGCTTTGAGTTGGTATGCTGATTTTTATGGATTTTATGGTCTCCAAAAGTTAAAAGAAATCTGTGTATGTTCTTAGGCTGTGGGTATTTACACACCACAACATCAATTCATTTGTGAAATAAATCCAATCAAAAATGTAACACATGGACAGAAGGACATTTCAGCAGTCATCCTTATTGTTGCTCTAACATACAGTTGATACATACACTATGTTATTTGCCTAAACTTGAGAAGGTTTCATCTCACCCAAGCGCCTTGATCTTGGGTGAGACACCAATTGCAGTAAAGTGTAAAATATAGCTAAAAAAAAAAAACCTAAGAAAGACAAAAAAAGGTGTAAAATATAGCTAAAAAAAAACCTAAGAAAGACAAAAAAAAGTCAAATGAGTAGTCTCAATGAAAGTATTTTTTTTCTCAGTGTTATATTTTGGCGTGGACTCTTCGTCTTCAGGAAGCTTTTATTTCTCTAGAGTGTCAGTGTTGCTTGCATCTGTTTCTGTGAGCAACATTATAAAAGTACCATGAAAAATATAATATATCCCAGTAATGTGAAAGCAGACTTGTTTCATGCAATTACAGCAGCAGATTTAAATAGATATTCTACCATCTGCTCACATCAGTGTAGCTACACGTTTAACTGTGGTTTAACTATAAAACCGTTCAGTAAACTTTTAAAACATTGCAGTACAGTAAGGGTAATTGGACGTTCATAATTAAAAATGATATCAAGTATATCAGCTCTGAATAGAATTTTACATGTGTAAAGATCAGTTATACAACGCTGCAAAATAAGCTAACAATGTATATTTGACACACACTCTATGGAGACTTTTTAGTGCCTTTCTTTCTTACCATTTTCTCCTGGTGTCCAGTCCTATCGTAGTGTCAGAGTCCCTGCTCATCTGTAGACCCCGGCTACGGATGGAACAGTGTGTCCTGCTCACAGCTGATGCACCGTTTGCCATTTAACAGAATGCAACTGTGGATTTTCTCTTCACAAAGAGACAATGAGGTCAGCAGTGGAGGTACAGAGAATGAGCCTGTTGTCTGCCAAATCGGGAGGGAGTCACAGGGCCCGTGGAACTGAGCTGAAGCCGGTCTTTGATAGGGAGGCAGGGTCATCTACAGAGATGCCTTCAGGCTGACTATTGATACTACTGTGTTGGTGGGGACAGCAGGGGGGGCGGTTGCTAGGTAACACTTTGTATTTCTGCCAAAAGATTGTCCATTTTCACCTGGGACAGGTTATTAGCTGAAATGTGTTACCTTCTGAGAAAAGGTCATTATTGTAGATTGTTGAAAAGTCTCACATCAAGTCAATCCCCATCACCTGGAATCCAGAATCTGCTGTTTTCTAACACTCTGGAACAAGGTGAGTTCTGTTCTGTCTGTCCGTCTGTCTTTGGGTCCACAGATGAGGGTCATTCTATCACCATGTCCTGCTCAGAAATCACATGATATTTTTAAAAATATTGCAGGTATAGGATTTCTTTATCATGTGTACGTTATGGATTTCTACATTCCTAAAATAGACATGTTGCCTTAATAAAAAACTTGTTTTGATTGACATGGTCAGACTACAGATATATAAGATAAGGACCAGGTGTTAATGGTTGTCAGGATAATGTGGTGGTCTTGACCTTTGTTGCAAATGACAATTTGGGAAACATGGATACGTCTTTCCAAACATAACCTCAAAACTGAAAATGGACTTTTTGATCATTTTGATCCTAATGTAATGGAGGATAAATATGACTCTGAAATTGACAGTGGTGGATGAAGTACACTAACTATGTGCTTGAGTTAGTATATAAGTATAGACACCAGTGGTATATGAGGCCAATCCTTAAAATCAAAATCAAAAATAATATTGTGCACATGTTGTTTATGTATTTGCATGTTATTAATGGTTATGGTTTGGAATGACCAAACTGCAGAACGTTAGTTATACCTTATTTTTTAAATGTTATAAGACATTACTACTTTATATTCTACTGAAAGAGAGAACAAAGAAACTGGACCAGAAAAAAGACCTGGCACCTGACAAGAGGGAAAAAAAGGTCAGTGAGAGAAAAACAAACGAAAAAGTCAGGAAAGGTAGTGGCAATACACAGAGGATATCGTAGTAGTATTTAACAGGTATACGATGAAGGGAAAGTGTTAAGAAGTGGAACTCAAAGGAAAGAAAAGCAGCCTTCATTTCATTTCTAGAAACATTTTTTTTTCATTTCTGCCAGCAACAGAAGCACGAGTTACCAGGGTTATTTATGCATTCACATGGATGTGTTGGGGGAATAAGTCAGAAGCACAGGTGAAATGAAGAAACTGCTGTGCTGATTGACAAAGCCGAGGCCGATCTCAGCTGTGACTGTGGAGGCAATGTTTGGAAATCAAACAGGTGGTAATGAGTGTGTCAGCGGCTGTGGTGGTGGTGGATTAACACTCAGTATTCATAGCAGCAGAGTTTGATATTTTCTCTCTAAAGAGATGAATGAAAGAGCAGAGGAGACAGGTTTTGTCAAAGGATATGTTTGGACTCATTCAAATATACAAATACAATTGGATTTACTGTTGATTAATTTGAGATGCTGCCAAAGAGTCAGACATGTTGGCTGTCTTCAGATTAATGACTGCCACACCGCTGCACGTTAAAGTGGGACGCAGTTTTTCAATCTCACAGGAGCAAAGGCAAACGTGCACTGAGTAGAAATTACTCAACACGATTACGAGTGGATATGTTTAAATATGCTGGGCTCCTGCACAAATAGGAAGAAAGTACTGTACACCCCGAGGAAGTAGATTAGCAGAAAAGAACTGCAGGACCTATAACGTTTCTCACCATTATATGATATGTTTTATTTTATTTTTATTTTGGGGCTTTAATTTTTGCAATACATTATTTGCTAAAATTTGATTAAATATTTACATACAGTATTGTTGGCTTTGCCTATCTCTCTCTCTCTCACTTTTTCAGTAGAACAACCCAGAAAAGCCAATCACAAACAGGGACCAACCTAAATCCAACAAGGCAGGTTTGTCAAAATACAAGGACAGGTAAAGTACGACACATGTGAGTGTGAGGTAGAGACACACACACACAGGGAAACAGGTGTAAGGATTGAGGCTGAGTGCTAGTGTGCATGACGGGAGTGAAAACCCAGGATTCCTTGCTGCTGCTAGTGTGCATGACAGGAGTGAAAACCCAGGATTCCTTGCTGCAGCACTGTCATCTATCTCTCTTCTTCATCTTAACAGGAAGCCAGGAAGGTTTGTTGCTGTGAGATTTGATCAGCTTCTGTCTAATCTCAGTCATTAGACCATTTACTTCTGTGTGTCTAAACCTTGAACGTTAGAAATGGTCTCCTGGTCTTAATTAACAGAAAGAAAGACTCTTTTTTGTGTTGAGTCAGAACTGACTTAAATAAGTTTTCTGTTCAGTGGATTAAGGCTTTAAGAGTGAGAAGGTGCCGTTGGCTGTCAATAAGGATGACCATTAAAGGTTGATTCACCTGCAGGGTAATTAAACTCTTATTGTCTAATACGCTAACAGCTTAGACTAGTCCATAGTTGTCAAACTATATACAGGGGTTCCCTGTGGCTACATCACCATATCTTGAAAGAAAGTCTTGATCCATTCCAATGTATGATGTAAAACAAATTTCACATGTTAACTTCATGTTAACAAGAATGCTAATAACATTTTAAAAAGTCTGAAGAATTATAAACTGCACTTGTACTACCACTACTATTTCTGAAACTGCAAGCCTATGTAATGTGGGGGTTCTCTGAAGTAAAGACATCCTCATGAAAGAGGCCTCTAAATTAGTAACTAAGTGTCACTGGTGTTCTAATTAAACCACCACGTTTCCTGTTTATGCCTCAGAGTCTCTGGATGTAATAAATGTTTAGGGTAAGACGTTCTTCTTATGTCTTAAATTTTCATCATCCCATTTCATTAACACTCACACATGGATGAAAAACACTTCAGAAAAGAAATGAAAAGGCCAGCGAAACCAAATGACTCCCCGAGGAGGAACATGTGTCGTAAGGTTTGATCAAATTGACACTAAAACCAACACGGCATGAGATCAGCATTTTATTCTGCTCATCAACAACCATTCTGTACTGCTGTGTGACTTGTATTATAAACTACAGAGAACTACAGTGTTGAAGTCATACATGAAGAAGAAGAACTTAACTGAAGAAGCCTCTTGGATGAGAGGTGAAACGTCTTCTTTTAGAAAATTCACGTCCAGTTGCCCAACAGAACTTTCAAACTTGACCATGACCTGGATAACTGAGAACCTTCATAGACATCATAACCCACTCAACTGTACCTAATTTATCCTGTCTTGTCCACTATACCATCCTTTACACCATCATGTCTTTTTTTTTGTCCTAAACTGTCCTGCTTTGTCCATGTACTCCCTTCTAATCTTATCCTATCATAACCTAGCCTAGCATAGACTAGCCTAGCCTCACCAATCCTACTTCACCCTAGCGTACCCTATCCTATCCTAGCCTAACCTATACTAGCACTACCCACTCTATCTTATCCTAGCCTAGCATAGACTAGCCTTGCCTTGCTAATCCTACTTTACTCTAGCGTAGCCAATCCTATCTTACCCTAGCATAGCCTCTCCTACCCTATCCTAACCCTAACCTATACTAGCACTACCCACACTATCTTGTGCTATCCTAGCCTAGCCTAGCTCGTACCCACCTGGTCCTTTCCAGTGCTGTTTTTCCTTATGTTTAACTGTATTCTGTGCAGTCGTGCCCTATTCTAAACCTTAAGATAAAAGAATGACAGTTTCCTGTTCTACTCTATTCGTTTTAATCTGACATTTTCTTGTTCTATGTTTTGTCATACATGATGTCAAATTCTGGTCTGTCCTGTCTAATGCTGTCACATCACGTCCTCAGCTCTCCTATCCTGTCCTGTCCTGACTTTCCTGTCCTATTCTTTTCCAACTTGTCCTATCATGTCTTTTTCTTTGTTTAGTGTCACATTAGCCTGTTACTATTCTGGCAGTAATCGTGTCACTGCTGTCTTGGCTGCCACTGAGCTTAACTGCTTTCGAAGCTCCAGCACCTTCTCAGACTTTCTCGTCTGCTGTTGAACACTATGGGAGAATACTGCCCTCCTGTGGCCAATTTGAATAATTACATGTAGATGTAACCCTAACCACATTCTCAGCCAACAATGTAACCGATACAATTTTACCAAAATTTAGAAGGACGCTGATTTTCATCCCCTTTTTTCAAGACTAGTCTTCAGACAAATACACTGATAACAAAATGTTACTTTGATTAAACTATTTTTATGGAAACTCTGAGAAGGTCATTGAAATAATAATTACACAGCTTCCATTTTGGCTATGAATACAATAATTAAGATTTGTATTTTAATTCAATACTTAAATGAAAAAGAACACACACATTTTGCAATTTAGAATTAATACTGCTTATTCATTACCATAACAGTGAGATTAATTTGTCTAGCAGTTTGACGGGGAAAAGCAAAGAAACAGAAAATACAAATACTGAATTTGAAAGGCGCAAAAAAATACCACTGTCATGAAGCATTTTTCCGAAGCAAACTGTCAGAACTTCTCTGCTCTGATTGACAGATAACCTCAGCCACAATGAGGTCACTGCCTTTACGAATCTCTGGCGCCCTCTGTTGATGCAGTCATGTAACGACCCTAGCCAACAATTAGCACGTATTATAACTCGGTTTTCAGACGAATCCAATGTACAGTAAACCCTTGTTTTTCGCGGGGGTTACGTTCCAAAAAGAACCCGTGATAGGCAAAATCCGTGAAGTAGAAATCTTTGGGTTTTTTTACAATTAAATACTCAGAAAAAGAAGAGAAAGAACGAACAAACCATTTTACAGTCTCAACCATTTGTTTCACAAATAAAGTAAAATAAAAGTACTTTAGAAACGTTTCAACAAATAACTTCTGTAATGTACTGTCAAATAATAATTTTAATCATCAACGTGAACAGAAGGCTTCAAATTGCGGAGATTAGCACCGCCCACCGTGAACGGGAGAAAATTAAAAATGATTATGAAAAAAATACAAATTACCTGGTCTTGTTGCGGGCAGTTGCAACCCTTTTTGAATCCTTATTAAAACTTATTGCTGCTGTCTTCCTTATGTTTTTTTCTTCCTTCTTTATGGAACGAACGGAAGACTCATTAATTCCATAATGCCGACCTACAGCCGCATAGCTTTTACCTTCATTTAGCATGTCCAATAGTTCTCCTTTATCGCCGATAGACAGCATCTTCCGCTGCCTTTTGGTCCCTACCGCAGGTACTTTTGCCGGTCCAGAGCGTTTTGTCGACATTATGGGGTTTGATAAACTCGAAATTGCAAGAGAATTTGCACGTACGTAATGTCAATTTGGCAAGCTGTTTTACGTACGTGTACATATTAAACCGCAACGTTATTGGCGCACAGGTAGAGAAGAAGCGGAGTGACTTTTTAGCCAATCAGAATGCAGAACACAATGCACGATGCAAATCCGTGAAGTAGCGAAACCGTGAAAAGTAAACCGCGTTATAGCAAGGGATCACTGTATTTTCAACGTAAAAACCTCGCTTATATTCGACTCAATACGGTAGATACATTTTATTATACCATGTTTATCGTGTTTTGGGTCATACCTGTGCTTAAATGCGAATGTTGTTTTCAAAATTGATAGCAAAATATGTTTGCGTTTGAATGTACAGTAGTATTTTTGTAACGCCTCAAAAACGGATTATCTTACCTGACCAAAAGTAAGCCTGAAAATATAAGCATTGCTCACAGTGAAAGTTGTTCAATAAAGAGCAAAAAAGATGACAAAATGTAATGTCTGTGGCTATTTGGCAAGATAGTTGTGGTGTGCTAAAGGCTAACACAAAATGTAATGTCTGTGGCTATTCGGCAAGATAGTTGTGGTGTGCTAAAGGCAAAACTTTATGGTCCTGGAATTTGACTTTGGTAAAATTTTGAGCCCTTAAAATGGTGGTGTTGAATTGGCTAAGAAAACTCATCTGACATTCTTAATTGTAAGTTACATTTAATTTTCTCTAATAATTCTTGACAACCGCTTAATGCAAGCATTGACTTTAGTTGCTCAACATATTGTAATTACATGGCCATGCATTAGTGGTGGGCTCCAGACGTGACAGCATCTCTAACTGGTATTCAGTAGAGTGTGGATTGAAAGTGGCAGGACAAATAAATAACTGTCACGTAACCATTTGTGTCTTGTCCTGTTGAGGCTAATGATACAGCGTGGATATAAGTGTACCAGATGGTGTTTAATGTGGTTTGCTTTAGTTGCCCACAAAGCTGGTGCTCATTAAACAGAGGAGATTATAATCACACTAGTGTGTGTGTGCAGTGCTACAAAATTGGGTAAACCTGGTAGAGAAGCAGAGCTAATTGTTTTAGCAACATTAAACATGATGTCATTGAGAAATCTGATTTCCAAAAAATGCCAACTTTACATGATGTCATTGAGAGCTAAATCTGATTTCCAAAAAATGCCAACTTCAATTAGACAAGTGAACACAATGAGAAAAGAAATGGGTGAATAAATAGTTTATCTCGTATTACAGATGTGCCCACTCAGTAGATCGCAAAGGGAGTACTAACAGATCATAGCAAATAAAACAAGAAATAAATAAGAATTAATATCATTCTATAGTGTGTAGTAGTGACCATGTACTGTAAGAATTAAATCATATTGTGCCATACAGCTACATGCATGTAAGCAGTACCACAACATATTTAATAATAAAATATAATATAATATACAAGCGGTGTCATTCAGTACTTTGAGTCTAGATGATACCACACACACCTGTTAACTTGCTGTTGTTTTGTTGTGTGGTTGGGTATAGCTTTGATTTTATACTTTATCTAATGACATTAAACCAGCGTTTTTCAGCCTTAGGGTTGCCACCCCATATGGGGTCACCTGGAACTCAAACGGGGTTGCCTGAAATGTCTAGAAATTGAAGGGTTAGATATATATATATACATTAGATATATTTTATAAACAAAGTATCATTATGTTTGATTAAAAACTGTATTCTTTCACTGTCAGTGCCAGCCCTAATCCTGATCTGTTACATATGAATGGCAACCAAGGTGTTGCCTTTCATAAGACTCAGGAGCAAAGAGTTTATTTATAAATGTCCAAACATACATACGACCAAACACTTACTGGGCAGCAGGGCCAGGCAGGAACGACATCACGCTGACCACCAACAGGAACTTGGAACAAGGCACACAGGAACCGCTGAACATGACCACCACACTGAAAATGTCACACAATCACCACGACCCGACCAGGCCTGTGTGAAGGAGAGGGACACGCAGCAGGTGACGCTAGTGAGACTGATGAGAGAGACACAGGTGAGTGTGATGACACTAATCAACACAGGGGACGGAGGGGGAGACTGACAGGCCTCAGACCAGGGCTGTAACAGTTGGTCAGTGCATCAGTCTGTGTTTGACCATTAAAAGCTGTCGTCCTACACATCATGAATGTAATGACTTTCTGTCTTTATAAAAGGCTACATGACAGTTTGATAACAATCTTTTCATCAGTATTAATTTTCCAAATCAGTCAACCCAAATGTTTTCCTTATATCTTGAGGGAAACGTTCTGACCGTCTTTACATAATTCAGTTATGCTCCAGCATATCACATCAGGGTTTTGAAATATGTATGATAGCACCATCTACAGGTCAGAGACAGGAAGCTACATGCATAATCCTGACAAAAACAAAATCCTGCAGACATCTACAAAAAGCCACTCTCTGTGCAGACACAAAGTGAAAGCGAGACTAAACTGAAGTGTAACCTTTCCTGCTTTATTATCCACCGAACCTGGAATGAAAAATGACACACAAAAGCCTAATATAGCAAATTATTTTATTATTTTCTTAAACCATGCCACTGAACACTGACGCATACAGAGTTGTGCCTAAATTCACACTGAGAAAACACTTTCACACACTGTGTTACAAAGCTATAGTGAAGAGAGAGATTTTTTTTTAACTATTATTATTTTTTTACTGCACGCATGGCAATGAGAACAACCCTGATTGGACACCAGGTCGAGCTTTGATCTGGCCCTGAGGTAGACAAACATTGACATAATCTAAATGCTGTTACTCACATCCTTTAAAGGACACATCAAATAAAAGGACACCTGCATTATCACAACATAGAAAGATCAAAGAAAAAAACAGTTCTTTTGGTCCACTGGGCAAAATACAATAATAGTGCATGTTTATGTAAAATAGATACAGTGAATGTGTGTTTTTTCTTCTCATGGCACTGACTGTTGGTGGCTTAAGACATTGCACATTTCGTAATTTTTTTTTTCTTAGGGTTCCTTTGTACGAGCAAGCCCCAGCATTATTTTTTTTTTTTTTTTCATTACTCAGCAGTATTTAACATGTTACATGTTAACATGTACGGTCTGTTTGAAATGATGTTTATTGTGAAGGGAAATCTTAGGCCCAGTCCACTAGTATGCATTTATTTATGAAAGATGAGATTTTTCTTTCTTCAAATACAAATAAACAGACTTGGCTTTATGCAACCAGATGTTGGTCATGTCAGCAGGTGGTGATATAACGTACAAAACCCTACAAATCTTTAATGCCTGCTGTGTAGACAATAACACAGTCTGTTATGTTTCTCAGTTCTTCTGCATACTAACATATTGTGCTAAATAATTATTGTTATTTTTTATTTAATATTTTTCTAATTTCTTCTGCTGTGACAGGAAGTAGTTATATTATGTCGGGCAGGAACAGGATTGTTTATTTCCTTTCCTTTTCTTCCTATTTCAGCCAATAGGAACCATCACGCAAACTGAACAAAACAAAACCTAGCCTTCCAATGACATTCATATACAGACAGTAAACATTACTGGAAGATTTCTTGTTTTTAAATATCTGCCCACTAATGGACCAGGTCTTAGTTACTGTATCTTTGAAGGAACCCATTTGAGATGGCAGAGTTTGTACTTTTACTTGATAAAATGCTTGAGACTTGCTTCGGACTCAATCGACCACCATCACGTATTTTCCAGTTGCAATGTTCAGACGAAGCAGATCTAGCATGGCAGTCTAAGTTTTAATCAACGAGAAACGAACACTGAGGAACGACCACCAACAGCACATACCCACGTACTCAAGCACATCAATGCTCTACTTATAAAAAGAGGCACAAGGGAGAGATCATAATCAACTGAGGGAGTTACAGTATAAACCACACACTTGAAAGATGTTTTTTTCAAATCATACCAAATGTAAACAAATAGCAATTTACAGTAATACAAAAATACAACATGGTTGAAATCTATAAGGCCAGTGTCAGGCTCACTTCTGATTATAACATACAAGGACAGCTGGTACACAACAGCTACACTACGACTGGCAATAACCTGCCCAGAGTGATTCGACGTCAGAACAGACACGACAGACCTGGTCTGTTTACTGGCTCACATAAAGCAATGAACAACATGACCTGCATGACTGACATCTTGTATCCTGCGAAGGACATTTGCTACAGCAATTAGAGTTAGTACATTTAGAATGTGGGACAGGTGTTTGATTGTTCCAGTGAAGAGACACAAGAGGGCAGGATTTGCTTCATCTTTGGCTTACATCACCTTTACAATGTGGGACCAAGGGTCGCTTACTCTATTGGTCCACATCACCATTGATTTAAACCAAAGACGGGACAAAAGAAATATTCAGAATATTTTGCTGTGCATACGGGATTTAACAAATGTGGCCCACAAAATAAATGTTTGTACTAAATGTGAGCCACAAATTTTAATTAAAGCTGTCGGTCGGGACAACTATTGGTCTAAAAATATTTTTGTCCCTAAACAGGTTCAAATATTGGGCATTTTAAATAGGTTACAGCCCAAAAAAAAACAACAAAAAAAACAGATCGCTGGATACAAGATGTAGACCCTTAAGGGCCTAGAATTCACTGATGTATGTTCGCCATGTGATCAACTTTGGTCTGGCTCATCACTGGGACGAAACCAACTTCTGACAAATTTCATGTTTTGTTAAAAAAAACAAAACGCTTTCTTTAATTTTCCTTTAGAAAATTCTCAATCACTGGTTTCATATGTCTGTTCATAGACAACAATTAAAAAACTACACATAAAGCCTTGCTGAGGCATTTTTTTCCACATATTTTAAAATGTTTTTATTTTAATCATAGAAATTTTTTTTTTTTGCAAGGGTGAATAATTTGCAGTGGACGAAAAAAACACTGAAGCGAGGTAAATTCTCTCTGGTGAGTCATTGACTGTTAATAAAATGAAGTGGATGAATGTACAGAGTGTGACTTAAAACTCTTGAAGTCTTGAAGTCGAGCCACAGGAATAGACTGGAGGAAGTGCTTTGGATGTTACATCCAAAAAAAGTGACAATTCGTATTGGTTCTTAGAGTAGTAATGATTCGTAATGATTGTGAAAATTGGGTCACAAGCCAAAAAAAAACAAAAAAAAGGTTGGGAACCAGTGGTTTAACCTTCACAGAGTTCAAATTTAAACTGTGCTTCTGCTGGTTTTGGTTTGCTGTAGTAAAAATAAGGAGCAGCCCTTGGTTTAGTGATACAAGAACTGGGCTTCCAACTGGAGAATAACAGGTGTGAATCCCACACTAGCTGCAGTAAGCACCAAAAGTTCCCCTGGTACCACAGAGCTCATGAGAGTGGACTCATGGAACCATGATCTCACATTAAAATCTTCCTCTGTCCCTGGTATCTGGACAAAGACTGCCATTACTCTCTGAGATAAATGAGGGATGAGAATAAACAGATGCAGCGTTGTTCACTGGAGTGCTACACAACGTTTGTAGTGTACATAAGTTGGAATTTTACACAAGAATCAAGGAAGTGTCATATCTTCTCAAGAGGAGCAGCAAAAAAAAAAACAAAAAACAACCATTCTTTATCAGAGGACAAACACTAGTCTAACATACCATAAAGACCTGACAGCAACTAACTTCCAAAACCAACTTAACGCTACTAGGGATGGCTCAATGCTCAGGATTGGTACTGATCCGATACCATACCAAAAAGTGAAAAAAACTACTGTAGCTGTCCGAGCAGATACCTGAGCCCAAATACTCAACTAAACTCTGCGAGACATGCCATTAACAGGAGCAGCAACAGGAGAAAACAAAGTATCGGATTGGTATTGGTATCGGAAACTCCGAAGTTATCGGTAGTACGGAGCCATCCCTCAACACGTCCACTTCTGTGGCTTAACCCCTGACTTCATCCGTGGTTATGATCATGGGCTGTGATTATCACACTAATGGATAATAAATAACAACATCTGTGTACGTGTGTTTGTGTTTGTGTTTGTGCGTGACAGAGAGAGAGCGAGAGAGAGAAATGACAAAACATTTTTGGTAATTAAAAGAAAACAAAGCTGCACATAAATAGCCAAAAACATTACACAAATTTCAGTCTCGTTTTGAAGCCAGAAAACCTGAAACAAAAACCACCCACTGCAAAGAAGACAAAGAACTGAGAGAGCGGCAGCTCATCGGGGCAAACATGGCAGCTTTCAACTAAACCATGCAGAATGGAACCAGCAGAGTAAAAGAATAAGACCAGCGAATGAAAAGGTGCGGAGATGAGACACAGGAGGACAGAGTCCTCGCTGTCTGCCAGTCCACCATCACTGATTATCACAGAAGACTTCAAACTCTGTGCGATGGTTCGACAAAAGAACAAATGAAAAAAACCTGCAGCTGAACAGAGACGCAGCCAACGTCCTGTTAACTCAACAGTGGATCGAACAGAAGTAGTCGTTACATACCAACTGGTAACACTGGGTGTGTGTGTGTGTGTGTGTGTGTATGTGTGTGCTGGGAAACTTTCAAATTCCACTTTGTTCCTGCTGGGATCATTTTTACAGTGAAGTTGTATTTTGAGGTCAGGTTTACAGTAGAGTACAGTACAGTGTAATGAAGTGTCCTAATGTCAACGTCCTGTTGGACATTATTAAATCTCTTCCATTGGTTCATCTCAGGCACAGGTCTGTCTCTTATTCGCTCTGTATGGTTTGGACTGACAGAATATGAAGTTTTGTCGTCTTCTAAATTGACATTACTGACAGATGTGTTATTTATTTTGAGCAACACCTACACAAACATCACCATATTTGCATGAGAGTCATGTTCCTTAAAAAGTTAAATGAAGAAAAGAAAAGCTGTTATAGCTTTAGACCAGAATGTATCCCAAAAAGATTATTTTTTAATATCAACACAGAGCAACAAGTAACGAGTGCCTTGATGAACAGGTGAGAGGAGAGATATATATGATCCGCTACAGCTGCCGCTAACACTGCTGCTAACGCTGCCGCTAACGCTGCTGCTAACGCTGCCGCTAACGCTGCCTGACTGCTACAAACTGACTCAAACAGGGCCGCTCTTCTGACTGTGCTTTCCCCTAGTAAAGTATGTGTAAACAAGGAAGTAGAAAAGCCATACTGGGTATGTGAGATTCATTACAGTGTCAGACACACCTGGGGAGGTGAGAGGAGGTGTGTGTGTGTGTAGGGGGGGGGGGGGTCTTTTGTCTCTTTATAACCACAGTCTCACGTTAAAATAATTGATGGAACCAGTAAAGTTCACACTGCCGTGGTGTGAACTGACATTTCCACAGTGAGGTTCTGCACCAGAGTAGAACATGTGACTGTGACTGAGTTGGTTTTTTGGGGTTCGTAGAACTCTCTACGTTGTGGAGAATGTGTTGTTTTGTGTTTTTTTATTAGCGATTGGAATCAATCAAATTCAATTTAGTTTTGATATTTCGAAACCTGTGTGTGTGTGTGTGTGAGAGAGAGAGACAGAGAGAGAGAGAGAGAGAGAAGGGCTGTACTCAGTCCCGTTCACACGTAGCAGACGTACAGGTAAGTCTTTTCTATCCTCCAGTCGGCCGGCACCTCCTCAGGCTTGTGGCTCTTCATGTGCTTCTGCATGGCAGCCAGGCTGGGGCAGAAGTCCTTACAGATGGTGCACTGGTACGGAGACGCTCCGTTGTGCGTGCGCAGGTGCTTGATCATGGCCGAGTAGTCTCTGGAACGTTGGTGACACAGCTTACACTCAAATGGCTTCTCACCTGAAAAATTTAGCACCGCAGTGTTAACCTGGTTGACCCTGTGAGAGAGAAACCTCCAGGGTGAAGCAGGATTCATTTCCACTGAGTCCATCTGTACATTCTATACCTGCACACGTGTGTGTGTGTGTGTGTGTGTCTGTTCTATAGAAATATAGCAGTTTTATTTCCATTCAACCTTATATAGCAGTGGTTCTTTTTATACTCTGAGCTCTGAGTACCACCATGATGACCAACATTAGAATGTAGCAGCAGAGGCCTTCACTGTTAGCTTCCACCACAGGAGAGAGGTTTATAAATGTTTATAAAGATGTTTATGTTTAAATGTTTTATTAATTGTGCCTGGTATGTTTCAAATATATTCAGTTGAAAATGTGAAAATATGAATTTTTCCACATACCACTAGAGGGCGCTCACGTACCACTGGTGGTACGCGTACCACAGATTGAGAACCACTCTTATGTAATATATAGATGTATATTGCCACACGACTGCAGGCGTTTTTCCCTTGTCCATGTGACATGACGGAGGACGACCAGTTCAGTCTCAGCTGAAGGAACATCATTACGTCACAGTCAGAGAGCATGTGAGGTTGGTGTGAATAATGATAAAGACAGTGTTGAATTTAAACGTCACAAGCCGCTCAATTAGACCTAACTGACTGCAGTGGTCCTCGACTGGCCAATGATGTTTGTGTGAAGCCGGAACATCCTGGATGTTAAAGGTGAAAGAACTGGAACCAGTTTCAGTGTTTAGTTCTAGATTCATGACAGTTAGGTTGTTCCTGAGGTGAATCTGAACTCTCACTTTGATGTGAGTAATAATCGACAGCAGCAGAGTCAAAGTTAAACACTGTGTTAGTAATAGTGACACGGGAGCCGCAGCATCACTTCAATGCTTTGATGTCTTATTCATCGATCATGAATTACAGCATCGCTCCTCGGCAGAGACAGAGGAGAAGACAGGTTATGGCTGTCTGTGGTATAGGAACAATTCCTCTACTCTCAATGTCGTAGTATTACAGTACATGTAAAAAAAACAAATCCAGTCCTCTGGAAACCCTGTAGATACTTACATCCTTCAATAAGACTAACGACCTAATGATTATCAACATTAGCAGACCATGAGAGATCATCAGGCGTGACTGTAAAAAATAATCTAATTTCACCTCATTTGTCTGAAAACTATTTTTGTCTTTACATCAATTAGTTTATTCACTGCAGGAGTACTGCAGTTTTCCCACAGCCGGCTCAAACTTGAGGTGTATTTTTCAGCTCCATGTGGTGGCGCTCTCCTCCTCCTGCCCCCAGACTCTCACCTGTGTGAACTCTGTAGTGCGTCTCCAGCTGATGTTTGAGGCTGAACCTTTTCCCACAGCTGTTGCATTCGTAAGGCTTCTCTCCCGTGTGAATGCGTTTGTGGCCTCTCAGTGTGCCGTCGTCTCTGAAGCAGCTCCCGCAGAACTCGCACTCGAACGGATGATCACCTGTACGCACAAAAGGGCCACGTCACGTCATTAGTGACACAATGTGAGACTGACTTCATCGTTGAAAAAAGTGCCTGGTTACCATGGTGGGAAGTTGGTCTGCACACAGAACATGTGATTTAAAACGACTGTGAGACATGCAGTTGTAAAGACTGACAAACACAATATCTATTTATTTGATTATGTTGGACATGTTACTTCAAGGGCCGTACAGTGCGAGGTGGGTTAGTAACTCTGCCTTACAACAAGATCATCACTGGTTTACCATTTAGTGCCACAATTTTTTTGTTGAGAGTTTGCATTTCTGTGTGGGTGTGTGTAAAATACTATTTATTATTATTATTATTATATTTTATTATTTATTATGCACATATTTATTATTTACTAATTTATTTATAATATATAAAATATAAATATATAAAAAATATATAGTTTGATTTGGTTATTCAGCCACTCTGCTTTTAAACTACTACTAGTAGTAATAATAATAATAATAATAACATAATAATTAAAAAGGTTAATATTAATAATAATATTATTAATAATTATCCTAACCATAATAATAAGGACTAATAATAGGACTTTTTGGGCATCATTCTGGGGCTACATGTAACAAGTTATTTCAAATCCTGAGAAGTTACTAAATGTAAACATGAACACTATACACCATTAATTAGCCAGAATAGCAGTGTGTCTTTAAACAGCATGTATCCCACCTCATCTCTAAAAGGTCAAATCATGGCTCGTTCGCTGCGCACATGCATACAAAACAGGGAAATTACCATGATGACACGACAGTGCCACACCTACACCTGTGTGATAAAAGTCCTGCAGTCGTGCGGCGCTCTCTTCTTTTTACTGTAGCTAATCTGTCTGTCTCCTCGACTGAGGCATTGACTCATCTCCAATGACCTACGTGCCTCATTATCTCAGTGTCCACAGCAACAGCCAAGTCGGAGGATACATCGCTCTCCTCATTACAGACCCAATCTGCACCACCCCTCCACGGTGCCGATGACATTTTCAAAATGTTATTTCCAAGCTGAATGGCATACAAACAAGATCAGCTGCCGTGGCCAAAACTCCTCTCACTTCTACCTCTTCACATCAATTATGTATTTCTCCCGTCTAGACATGAAGCCTTCCTGACAGCTGGCAGTGTTATTTAAGGCGAAAGAAGAAAGAGGAACATCTTTTCAGCAAATGTCTCTCTGTCTCCTGCGGCGTCAGGACTCAGTGCAGGGCAGAGCCGAGCACACAGCCCAGTCCTCTCCCATTTTCCCTCCCCTTCAACATTTATCTGGATTACCTCTATCTGTTAGGCTAAACCACCGACGTGAGTTCGCTGAAGCCTTAAGGCAGCCTCAGAAGCCAAAACATAAACAGGATGAAACTGCCCAAAATACGCAGCGTCCGTACTAGAGCTGTCATCGGAGAGGTGAGTCATTCATGGATGAAGGAGGGAAGACTGCGAGAGCATGCATGGAAATCAGAACATCAAAAACATCAAAGCCAAAAAGCCTCAGGAAATTAACCCAGATTCCAAAAAAGAACCGCTTCAGTTTCTAATCTGAGTTAAACGAGAGGAAACCAAATACAACTGGGATATCTGAATATGTCCTTTAACACAGCCCTTATACACAGGCCTGTCATTTGAAGTCGAAGCGTTACATGTGCTAACAATCTTTAGCACACTCGTCTGCCGCTGACAGGTAGGAAAAGTGATTTTGAAATGTGTTCTGCTTCTTTTCGTGCACCGTTAAAAGTTTTGTGGAATTTTAAATTAAAGAAGTGAAAGCTATAAGGCAAAAAAAGAAGAAAGAGCTAAAAGTTTTCTCAGGTTTTAAGTAAGCCAAAGAGCTACTTGGCAACTTGTTCCCCAAAAATTGTTTAAATGACATACGTCGGAAACACAGAACAAGACTTTCTTTAAAAAATTAAAAATTAAACTTTATTGATCCCATATTTGGGAAACTCTTCCGTTCTGTGGCAGGTGTGCTAAGCGCTACACTATGGAACCAACTTTATGGGAGATGATGTCGTGAGCACAAAACCAAACCCTAGGCCCCTTGTAATCATGAAAAACAACAGCACCACACCAGAGATTTGGTAAAAATGTTACGTTATGTTATCGTTATACAGACTTTGTGTTTTGAACTGTGATTCAGATTCATCTGCTTTGACACTGATCTATTTTTTTTCCTAGGACCTTTTGGGCATCACTGCTGTCACACTGCCTCTTGGTTTTCAGCCTAGCATATCTCAGTATAGCTTGGTAGGCTAGTTGGAATGAATACCCGTGTTGGAAATGTTGTACTGCGATGTCAGGTGGGTTACACATCAATTCAGGATTAAGGCACTTCCAGTTTCCAGAGACCTTTTTTTTTTAATCTCCGTCTTACCCGTATGAGAGCGCAGGTGTCTTTTGAGGGTGGTGTGGCTCGGGAAGGGCCGCTCACAGTGGCTGCAAATGTAGCTGTGCATTCCGGTGTGGACCTCCATGTGCTGCTGCAGGGCCTTCTGGGTCTGAAAGCGCTTCGCACACAGCAGACAGAACACCGCCATGTCGGTCCCTGGAGAGAGAGAGCACGCCGACACAGACAGCACGGTTATTTCAGTACCAGTACACAGGCAGACAGGGCCGTAAGTGAGAGGGAAAACTGGGTCACTTTTTCAACTTTGTTGCAAATCCTCTGAGAGGAAGAAGCTTCTTTCAAAGAGCGAGTAACTCTACCTACAAATGCCTCCGCTGAAAGCCCCGAGGCACTTTCAACTCTTTAGAAATTCTATTTTAAAGCCGTGAAAGTCATTGTTTTTCTTTAAGAATTTTACCCACACAATGCAGAGCATGCCAATCAAAGAATCAATGCCTGCTCGCTGCTCGTGTGTGTGTGTGTGTGTGTGAGATGAAAGTATGTGATGGAAGTGCAATTACTGTCCTCATTCACCTATCAGGAGTCAACCGCAGCCTGTGAAGTCCTCTGTGTCTGTGCTCAAAGAGCAGCTGATAGTAGCTCCACCCTGAATGATGCCTACACCGCCCACACTGTGCAGAATGTTAAGTAGTGCCATCAAGCCATTAAAGACGGGACTGCAGGAAAAACCAGGATCCAGTTTAATCCCGCGTGTGACCTGGCATCTCTCTGTGTCTGCTGCGCTGAGTGAAGAGGGGAACAGGGAGGGAAGTGTAAAACACATCCACTTCCTGTCACACACAGCATTTGATCTACACGTCCGCAAGTAGTGACACGCGCACACACACACACACACACACACACACGACGTAGACCAAAAATATGTAAATTTTTTTTTTTACGCAAACACAGAAAGGTGGCACAACTGAGGACGAGTCAAACACCTCGACTCGGCCGAACCACTGGTACGGCAGCAGCGAGCGTTTATTGCAAGATTATGAGCTCCTTATTTGTCTGTCTGCTCAGGTTGCAGATCATTTACAATGCGAGCGGCTCCCATCGCTCCTGACTCGGATTCAATCAGACATCTCCAGCAGAGGATCATTAGTAAACAGAGGACTGTGCCAGCACTTCATTGGAATTCAAGTGGGGTTGCTGTGTCACATTTAAAATGCAGTCTGATGAGGTCCACTAAATCAAATCATTTGTTACTGTTATTGAAGTGCCTTGAGGCAACTGGCAATTAAATTGGAATTTACGCCGGGGAAAGGGGATACAACACACCCATACTAAAAGGACAGACACTTGCTTTAGGTTCAATCAAGTTAAACAGATAAGCTTGTTCCAAAAGTGGAGAGAAAGAGAAACAAAATCAGACAAATTCACACTGCGGGAGCTAAATCAGAGACGCTCATTGTGTCTTCACTAATCCATGCATCACAATTTGCTCAGGCAAAAACCCAGACGGCTCGCAGAACGTATACGGCAGCGGTGACGCACAGGGGATTTTGGTTGGAATTATTTCATCAATTCTGCTCTGTAATTACTCAAAGATGCCAAGATCAAAGGAAGGCAACGAACAAAAAGAAAAATGTTTTCAAAAATGGCCGTTTGTTAAAACAAAACAAAAGTTCAAATAGAGCCAAAAAGCAAGGGCGGATCGGCTAGAAAATACAACATTTTAGATGGAATTAAAACAAATACAAAGAGGAAATTAAATTGTTAAAATTGAATTGAAAAAAGTTTGTAAACAAGAAATCTTGACAAAGGTTTTCCAAATAATAAAAAGGCTATCAACGAGCCAAGAAGCCACAAAGAAAAACTTAAACATTAGCCAGAAAATAAACAGCAGTTGGCCACTCCAGAAGGACCAGAAGATATTTAAAATAGCTGAAAAAGATAAAACTGGCTGAAAATTACCTTTAAAAAAAAGAAAATTTATTTAGCACCGGCAGAGAATTTGACAACTGTGTGAGTCAAATAAACACAGCAAATTATAAGTGACTTTATAAATGTAACAAAATAACTAAGTCAGACTAACACAGACTTGGCTTCAGGTTTTCTTATTTACCCTCCGACCCCGGGGTAAAACCCCTCTGATAAATGGGGTGTAATTATTAACAGACAGAAGAGCAGAAGAAGACGTTCCCTGATCCTGACAACAAAGGTGATCCTCTGGAATGCACTGCACCTGTTCATGGCCTTTATCTCCTGATTCTTTTGGACAATGAGGTCCAGACCTCCCCCGTACCACCTCACCCCTCACACCCCCCTCAATGACCAAGCCCATTATCTCGGTTGTTCGCTTCAGCTCCTACATGCCCCTGCCTTTATGCCTCCGTCTAATGACCCAGCACTCTTTCTCACCCACGTATCACAACATTTAACCAGGAAAACAAAAGAGGCCTCTCCTCCACCCTCCCCCGCCCTGCTGACCGTTCCTGAAAATCCTTTCACCAGCCTGTGTAAAATAAGGTCTTATTCACTTTTCACCAATTCTCCTGCTTTAATATTCTGCAGCCAACAGGGGGAGTGCTTTCTGTTCAAATCTACCAGGCTTGATTTGTTTTCAGGCACAGCACAGAACAGCAGAGAAGCATTTAAGGGAACAACACCCAGTCTACTTAGTAGTTACTTCACATGTCCATCCTCAACTCTCCTTCTGGAACTATTACACCTTTATTATTATTATTATTATTATAGTTTGTGTTTTGCAGTAGTGAGTCAATGATGTACATAATTAATATCCCCAAAACTGTATGTTAACACCAACATATCAAACAAATACCTTTGAGGAATTGTGATGTAGATGAGCAATTTTTTCTATTGGTTTCTATTACTGTCAAACTGAAAAATAATATTACAAACAAAAAGAAACGAAAAAGGAAACAGTCAGACCAATTTAGCAAACCATAGTTTATAATCTAATAAATGATTGTTAAAAAGCTCATCATAATAAATCAAATTGTGTCGTTCATAGTAGTAGTTTAAGGGTCAACCACAACATTTGATTGTTTTTAAAGAAAAATAAAAAATCCAGTGTTACTTGTTGTGGAAATTTACAATAAACTACAGTATACCAAATGAAAAAAAAGATAGTTTGGTAGGGATAGAAAAAATCTTCATTTATAATAATAATAATTACATTTAGTCTGGTGAAAACCCAATAGGAACTTTTAGAATTGTTCAAAAGTTAAAAGGTTAAACTTAGACCCAACCCTGGAGTAAAATTGTCTTTTTCTTTAGAAAATAAGGGTTGAAACAGCTAAAACAGCTGTAAGAGACAGTAGAACATTCCAGAGAAAACCAGGAGCAGATGATGAATTAGAAAGGAAGTCAGGAGTGGCAAATGAGTACATGATGGTGGTGGGGGTGATGTTAAAACAGGGAGACAGGGGGTGAGGTGTGCTGCCACAGTACTTCAGCCAGGAGGCTCCACTTTAATGTTTTCAGATGAGATTATAATCTGTAGTATCAGAGTAAGAACCTGCTCCTTACTGAGAGAGGGAACGACTGATGCAGGTGGAGAGGTGGAGCTGCAGGAAGTAGAGGTAATGATGAAGGTGGCGCTCTAACATAGTGGGTCGACCATCACATCAACAGACAGAACAGAAACGTGATGAAGACGTTAGGGATTCATGTGTAAGGAACGACGGATGTCAGACTGTAGTACAGACTGTAGTACAGACTGCAGTACAGACTGTTGTACAGGACAACGATGACGCTGAGGTTTTCACGTGAGGTGACAAGAGTGGGCGGGACCACCAATGAGAAGATGGAAAGTTAGCGCGACGCTTGAAAATGTTGTGAAAAGAAATTTGCGGTGAATGAGTCTCCAGTACAGAGGGACAGAGGAGACTGCTGACGGGAGAATGAGCTTCAAGGATGGCCGTCAGCGCCCCCTGCTCTGTCACCCCGGGACAGACAATAGGCCTGGGATTTTAGGCTTTTAAAACAGAAAATGACCTCCTGACCTTTGGCCCTGAATGGGGTAAATCCCGAATAGCTTTGGTCAATGGCCGCAGAGGTGACTGAGCTTTGTGTCCAGTGGGGCAGAGCTCTAACAGTGGGAATAATGATTAACAGTTTTCCCAGGATGGATGGGTTCATGCCACTCCATAATATCTGCGGTGCAGGGACAGGAAGTCCCGTGTGATTAAACATGTTGTGCGTTACGTACATCTGTACATCTGCCGCTTCATTCACTACCACTGTGGTTCTCAGGCTCTCAGGCTGCCTGAGAAACAAAACCACGTGTCCAGGCAACCAGATAGGATCATGCTCCTTGTTGGGGTGAAGTGTTCAAGCTAATCCCTTCATTCACAAATAAGCGCAGCCTGTTTCCTTTCAAGCAGCAAACAAAAGTTTTCCCACCCTAAGGATGTGGAGAGCAAACCGTGCTGCTGACCGAACAAAGCACGTCTTTGCTGATGGCTGCGGCCGCTACAACCTCCGGTCAACTTCACCTCAGTGTTCCCGCAGTTGACCAGTGGTTTATTTTTTAATTACTGATCAACTGCATTTTATGATTGCCAGTGAGAAAAGGCAATCATTCAGTTTTTACTCTCAAAATACTCACTATATGTTGAGCATATATTCAGACTCAAACTATTATTATTATTATTATTGTTGTTATTATTGTTACTTAGAAAAAATCTGCAGCTGTTGTAAAAAAATTAACATTTGTTATTGAATTTAAAGAAACATTACCACCTTTATAAATAACAATAGAAAAATAGATAAATCAATATATAAAATGACAATGATTTTGGAAAAAAAACATCTTTACCAAAGCAATTAAAAAAGAAAAAATGGACTTGTGAATGGACATGAAACTATGTTATTAAAAGTAATACATTTATATTTTTTATATTGCCAGTAACCATGCTATGTGACTTATTGAAATATTGTGAAATATTTTTAAAAATCCATCAAAAAACATGCTAATGTCATACTCAAAAAATTGCAAAAAATGTTGTTCCAAAAACTGAATTGAATTGAATTGAAATGTTTTGTTTTTGTTCAAAACATTACATAAGTTTTAAAATGTGCATTTAGATCCTCCATCCATCCATTATCTAATTTATAACATTATTGTTTTTCTTTTACAAAAATGTGCAATATAGCTTTAACCTTATACAAGTAACTTTGTATATTTA